GTTCCATTGTGGAACAGTAATACGGTCATCTATGTAATGCTCTCATTTCTCATCTGTCACCACTTCAGCAGATGCCGCCTGAGCACAGCCCCCTGAGAGGCTGTGCAGGACGCCTTCGGGACGCACAGGGATACTCACAGGTCTAGGCACTGAGAGAAGCTACAGACAACAGGCAAATAGGACAAAAGCACACCAATCTGACAATGCGAGGCCTGAGGCATTAAGCACTAAGTGACTATGGAAGTTGGAATAGGACCAGCTCAAATCCAGGAGGAAGAATCTAGAAGATCCTGTGATCAAAAATGATTTGAGTTGAACCATAACAAATGTTCGAATCCACACAGGGGAAGATGGGAGATGACATTACTAGCTAACAAAATATATGTTGAAAGAGCCCCCAAATAAGCAAGGGGTAAGTGTGCTGGGGAGCAGGGCACACTGCAGCCTGAGGCACAGGTGGAGGCGGGTGAGCTCCTCTGCAGGAGGCTGCGGGGGAGGGAGGGCTGGCCTGGGTGTGAGAGGGCTATGGCACTGGGAGGGGCTGATCAAACGCTGCCCGTGGACGTTAGGGCAGGGGATGGATGCCTCGCTGGACAGGGGGCCGAGGAGGAAAAGAAGTCACAGAGAAGGCCACACAGGATGGCACACCTGTCAGCAAGCACAGACCCAGAGTGGCAGAGCAAGGGCCCACAATGAGGCCAGGAGCAAACGCCTGCAGGAAGTGAATGCTGGGTGTCCGCACTGAGGGGGCACTCAAGTCTTCCTCTCGAGTGCATGCAACCTGCATGTCTAACCAACACCTGCTGGAGATGCAAGGTCCTTAAGAGCTGGGGGTAGGGAGCAGGCGAGAGCTTGAGCCACCTGCCTGACACCTGCCCCCAAGCTGTCGTTTCCTCTGAAACACTGGGATGACAACTGGAATCCATCTCAAATGATTGCTGTGTAGTTCCAGTGAGGTATCTGAGCAAGTGCCTAGAACAGCCCCTGGCACACAAGGCTGCTGCAGGCACCAGTTGCTGTCCTTCCTGTGAGATGCACATGCCCCACACACCATGCCATCTGCAGTGCTCTCATTTGGCAGAGGACCTGGGTCAAGGAATAAGTTGTATGACTAAAGTTAAGAAATTTCATTTTTCTGTACTTTTTGCTTGAGAATGCAAAGAATTCACCCTCTTTTCCAACTAGCCAGATCCCCCCTGATCTGGTATTGGGATCATTATTCTCAGGAAGTCTGCCACTGAGTGCACATCCTGACTATTGGCTTTTTTTTTTTAGGCCAAATTTGGTATAATAAGTCAACTTTTTTGTTTACATTTTTCCTACCCTCATTCTATTAAAGATTTAAGTCAGTAAAACACATACAATAAAGTGAAGAAAAACTGGATTAAGTCAGGATTAGGAAAATTGTAACAGAGAAAATTACTGACACAGAAATTCAGGACGAGGGGGAATACAGCTTTGCCAGGCCAGAGCCCTGGAGTCTTCAAAGCTGACGCAGATTGGTGCCCCTCACAGCGGATCAGCGAGGAGGCTCAGCAACAGCAAAGGTTTCTGTCTGCACAGAAGAAGCAGGTGCCAATTTCTCAAGGGAAGCAAAAACATTTTCTAGTACTCACATTTGAAAGGCATTTCTCACACGATGTGATAACATGCTGGGCTGTCTGTCCTAAGGGGCCCAAGAACCATGGGTGACCCTAGGCAACTACTGAACAGGAGCCCTGCTCTCACAAGGCCCCCAGGCCGGCCCGCCAGGGCCCTCTGCGCAGCCCTGAGTGCCGCGAGCCTGTCCCCCAACACTATCACCACACCTGCTAACTCAGCACAATGCAGCAAGAACACAAGTCACACACTTCCAGAAAGGTAGAACAATCACACCTATTAACACCACTGCAAATTAGTGGTTTTTAAAACTTTGTCCAGAAGAAAGAGGGAAAACCTCATAATATGGTCATTTGAAAAAATAAGTAAGTCACGGGAATGAGAAGCACAGTATAGGGAATATAGTACATGATACAGTATTATCTTTGGTGACAGCTGGTAACTACGCTTATCACGGTGAACACTTTGAAATGCATGTAATTGTTCAGTCACTATGTTCTACACCTGAAACTAATGTAACATGGCATATCAACTGTAGTTTAAAGTAAAAAGGTTAAAAGAAGAGATGAAACTAAATTTTATAAGGATTATAAAGTAAAAGCTAAATTTAAAATATGTCAGTAAGAAAAGTATCCACTGATATAAAATATGACACTCACAATAAAAACTATTGGCCTTGGTTTTTTTTCCCTAGAAATTTTCATAAGCCTTTAGTAATTTATGCACAAAAGACTTACAGGCATTGTATCACTTGACATACATGTTATATCATTAAACAAAAAATACTTAAAAGTCTTTTGCTTTTTCCATATATTTCCACTTAAAAATATTTTAATTAAAAATATACTTACCCATGCAAGTTACATGGGTGTAATCTGCTGGGTGAAATTTACTGAGCTATATGCTTAAGAATCATGTACTTTTCTTATATAAATTTTATTTTAATAACAAATTTAAAAGAAAACACTCACCTATAAACACTCAAGTATTTTCAATACGTCTTAGATCAAATAAAATGGGGAAAAAAATACAGTTGTGTGCACATGCAACAGATAAATACTGCACAGATAAGTGTATATCACCACTAAATATCTGCAAGGCCTTGGGAAAATGTGGAGTTTATTGCCATTCTGAAGAATATAAGGTTAAAAATGAAATTTAAACTCAAAATGCTAGAGGACAAAACTGAATCTAAATTGAAAACAATACAATAGGAGACAAAGGGGAAAAGCTGCAACAACAGGAATTCTCTGTACCTATTATATTGGAATTCTAATAATCTGCTTTATCCAAGACACACAAACTCTAGAAGTACTGTTAATCTTTTTCTCTCACATTATTTGGGTTCACATGATTTGCCAACTAGAATTTTCTGAAAGCAAATATACCCTCTATCCAGACCAAAAAAAGTCTGTGTTTGAAAGCAAAAGGCGAAGGCAGAGCTGTTTTAAGTGATAAAGTAACACTATACAACAAACTGATGGGATTATTTCAGAAGCATGAAATATGGTAAATAAGGTCCTTTGTGCTAGCAATTAACATAAATTCAATGTCGATGGGAACTTTATTGGTGCCATGATCCTTAATTTTACTGTATTTTTATTTCACTGTATTAGAAACAGCACCAGTTTCATTATTTCTCACACTGTAATTATCACTAATGGATTTTACCATAATGAGATCCCACCTGTATTTTGGATTATTTGCTTGACTTGTTTCTTTTTATCACAGCTGAAACACAACTGCAAAGAACACCCCAGCTCTGATTACCTCTTTTGTTTGCAAGTGATTTATAGGAGATTTTAAGCTGTTGGGTTTCAAGTCGCTGCAATCTTATTCCAGTATTTCTCCAGATTGCTCCTTTCTACTTTCAAAACTATCAAGTTCTGTTTGTCAGGGGATAGCACTTGGCAGCATATTAAACTTCATAAACACCCCAGCTCTGATTACCTCTTTTGTTTGCAAGTGATTTATAGGAGATTTTAAGCTGTTGGGTTTCAAGTCGCTGCAATCTTATTCCAGTATTTCTCCAGATTGCTCCTTTCTACTTTCAAAACTATCAAGTTCTGTTTGTCAGGGGATAGCACTTGGCAGCATATTAAACTTCATACTTTCATAATGAAAAAGGTCATGGCTTTGCTGTCAGCTTCCACTGCTAAAACACTTCACCACATCATTCAGGACCCTGTGCTTTACGAAAGCAACTCTCAACATAATAATGCTTGCTATACACAAGTTAATCCCAGTATATCCCAAAGTGTCAAGGAAGCACCCTACTAAATAGCATGATTAGTTTCACAAACATATCAACCGAGAAATTAAATTGTCCAGTTGAGTTCTATAGTCATAAACTACAAGTGGGTTGAGATTGCCTTTGGAAATAAAGAAGGCATTGTTAGCCTTTTCCTGTGACTATGATACCAGGAGTATGAAATTAGGTCATTTCTAGAAACTAAAAGCAGCCAAGACATCCTGATGTGCTTTGAGCATGAAATCTTAACTAATTTTCCAAGGTAGAAAAAAAAACTAGTTTATTTCCATGCAACTGTGACTGTTAAGATGATGGTAATGAAGCACCAGTTTTCAGAAGTCATTTTATAAGGCAATCACATACTTTTTACTCTTACATTTTTACCAGGTTGGACACTAATTCCATTTTGTATGATCCTGCCCCTCAACATGGATTTTATTCAGCTTTCTGAACTGCTATAGGGTCATAAATGTATAAGCTATAAATTGTGTATTTATGGATAATTGGTGCCACCTGCATTAATATGTTCTTGATTCTTTAACAACTGAGAAGTTAATACTGTGCTGACACCATTTTGATGATTTCTCAATCTTTTTATTTTTTAGTCTTTCTCATTTGCTTAATTGTCTATTATGACAGCACATATACTGTCAGCAGCAGTATACTTTTTAAAATAGCAGTAAACACTCAAGGAAGAGCCAATTCATGTTAATTAACCTTCCCCTTAACTAACTAAAAAAATGTACACCTCAAAAACAAGTTAAGGTAAGCAGCCCTTCCCTACTATGACAGCGCAGAATAAACCCAAATAAACTCAAGAAAGGACTAAATGTGAAAGCCCTTTTCATCTTCACAAAGACAAAACAGAAAATACACATGGTGCAATTTTAGGAGAGTTCAGATATTTCTGGATCTTGCCTAGAAAGGAAAAACAGCTAAAAAGGTCCTTTTGGAAAGAAGATGGAAAACAGTTCATGACACATTTAAAGGGCTTGGGTCTTTAACCTAGAAACATTCCTCTGAGCAGTGAGTCACCAGTTAAAAGCCTTCAAGCAGCAAGCAAAGGATCCTTGACTGTCTCAACTGTACTCCAAATGGACCACTTACTGTACAGACCACCACAGGAAGCCTCGAGGGAGGGCAGACCTACCTGGTCACATCCCGCATTCACCAACTCCTGCAGCATTTGTCGGTTTACTTCTGCAGCCGCGGAAGTGCCTGATTCATTGGCAAAAGGCAACAAGGAGTATCTGATTTCTCTCAAAGCTTTCTGGTAAGGCCCAAACTTTGGGGTGGTTCTCATCTGCTGCTGCCTGGCAGCATCCTTGCCCCCCAGGACTTTGGCGTCCAGGGAAGTGCTGTGGTTTGGTCCCACAGGCAGCCCCGGAGCAGAAGACTTGGATGGCTGCTTCAACCCCTCGCGGATCTCCTGCAGTCGCTGCCGGCTATTTCCAGAATAAGTTGTGGCAGGAAAAGTCTTTGGCCTCATTGTTAGTCCAGTTTCCTTTTAGCATAAATACGACCTTCTTAACATGTTTTATTAAAGAAAAAAATCTGTCAACAGTATCAGTCAGTTGTAAACATACTTTCAAAACAATTTCCTTCTGAAAAATTCCTTTCCTTCAATTTTTGTTGTTCCTATAGAGAACCTAAAATTTTCCAGAATCTTCATTTTGAAGATCATCACCATCTGAAAAAGAAAATGGAAAGAAAATGTTCATTTGCAGTTTACACATGTCAATACTTTTCAGAAATGGACAAAGATCTTGACAATATCCACTTGGGATAATTAGAGAAAACACATTGCCTCTCAAAAACGGTAAGAACACTGTTCAACTGGTTAAAGCGCCTGACATCTAGGGTTGTCCCAAGATGCCTCTTGTGATATGTAATCTGCAATAAAGTCAATCTCCACAAGCTAATGTTGACTAATATTCAACTCAGGGCAAGAACAATGGTATTAATTGATGGCTCATTTAAAATACTTCATTATAATATAATTTCATTTTGAAATCCACAGTTTGAGTATTTATAGTTAAACTTTCTAGATTAGGATTAAAGATGACGGTGTGGGAGGTGACACAGAGGCTTCCTCCTAAAACCGCATATAATACAAAAATATTAATACAAATAACCCTGAGAGAGCAACAGGAAAGAGGACTGCGCTAGACTGCATACACCTGGCGAAAACAGCAGACCTCATGGAAAAGGATACCGTACCAAACCTGTGGCCTGTGGGGACCCAAGCCCTTCCCCCACCCCAGCTCACTGGCGGAAGAGAAACTGAGCAGAGAGGGAGTGGAAGGCTTGGGGGAGTAGAGCTATTGGACCCTAGAGGGCGCCATATACAAATATGAAATGCCAAAGGAACCTGGTTCAAAGTAAAATTAATATAACCTCTGAGAAAGATGACATGGACCATATGACTCTTCCTGAAAGGGAATTCAAAATAAAAATTATTAACATGCTAATGGAGGTACGGAAAGATATCCAAGAACTCAGGAATGAATTCCGGTCAGAGATCCAATCACTGAAGAGCACAATGGAGGGTATTAAAAGCAGATTGGATATGGTGGAGGAGATGATAAATGAAATAGAAACTAGAAAAGAGGAATACAAAGAAGCTGAGACACAGAGAGAAAAAAGGATGTCTAAGAATGAAAGAATATTGAGAGAACTGTGTGACCAATCCAAATGGAACAATATTCGCATCATAGGGGTACCAGAGGAAGAAGACAGAGAGAAAGGGATAGAAAGTGTCTTCGAGGAGGTAATTGCTGAAAACTTCCCCAATCTGGGGAAGGAGATAGTCTCTCAGGCCATGGAGATCCACAGATCTCCCAACACAGGGGAACCAAGAAAGACCACACCAAGACATATAGTAATTAAAATGGCAAAGATCAAGGATAAGGACAGACTACTAAAAGCAGCCAGAGAGAGAAATAAGATCACATACAAAGGAAAGCCCATCAGGCTATCATCAGACTTCTGAGCAGAAATCTTACAGGCCAGAAGGGAGTGGCATGATGTATTTAATGCAATGAAGCAGAAGGGCCTTGAACTAAGATTACTTTACCTGGCAAGATTATCATTTAAACTTGAAGAAGGGATTTAACAATTTCCAGATAAGCAAAAGCTGAGAGAATTTACCTCCCACAAACCATCTCTACAGTCTATTTTGGAGGGACTGCTATAGATGGAAGTGTTCCTAAAGTTTAATAGCTGTCACCAGAGGTAATAAAACCACAGCAAAGAAAGTAGAACAGCTAATTACTAAACAAATGCAAAATTAAATTAACTATCCCCAAAGTCAATCAAGGGATAGACAAACAGTACAGAATGATACCTAATACATAAAGAATGGAGGAGGAAGAAAAAGGAGGAGAAAAAGAAAAGAACCTTTAGATTGTGTTTGTAATAGCATATCAAGTGAGTTAAGTTAAATTCTTAGACAGTAAGGAAGTTAACCTTGAACCTTTGGTAACCAAGAATATAAAGTCTGCAATGGCAATAAGTACATACCTATCGATAATCACTCTAAATGAAAACAGTCTGAATGCATCAATCAAAAGACATAGAGTCACTGAATGGATAAAAAAATGAGACCCATCTATATGCTGCCTACAAGAGACTCACTTTAAACCCAAAGACATACACAGACTAAAAGTGAAGTGATGGAAAAAGATATTTCATGCAATTAACAGAGAGAGAAAAGCAGGAGTTGCAGTACTTGTATCAGACAAAATAGACTTCAAAACAAAGAAAGACACAAGAGACAAAAAAAGACATTACATAATGATAAAGGGGTCAATACAACAAGAAGATATAACCATTATAAATATCTGTGCTCCCAACACAGGCGCACATACATGTGTGAAACAAATACTAACTGAATTAAAAGGGGAAAGAGAATGTAATGCATTCATTCTAGGAGACTTCAACACTACACTCACTCTGAAGGACAGATCAACCACACAGAAAATAAGTAAGGACACACAGACACTGAACAACACATTAGACCAGATGGATCTAACAGACATCTACAGAACTCTACACCCAAAAGCAACAGGATACACATTCTTCTCAAGTGCACATGGAACATTTTCAAGAATAGATCATATACTAGGTCACAAAAAGAGTCTCAGTAAATTCAAAAAGATTGAAATTATACCAACAGCTTCTCAGACCACAAAGGTATGAAACTAGAAATAAATTACACAAAGAAAATGAAAAATCCCACAAACACATGCAGACTTCACAGCAGGTTCCTAAATAACCAATGGATCAATGACCAAAATAAAAACAGAGATCAAGCAATATATGGAGACAAATGACAACAGTAATTCAACACCACAAAATCTGTAGGATGCAGCCAAGGCCGTGCTAGGAGGAAAGTATATTGCAATACAGGCCTACCTCAGGAAAGAACAATCCCATATAAGCAGTCTCAACACACAATTAATGAAACTACAAAAAGAAGAACAGATGAGGCCCAAAGTCAGTAGAAGGAGGGACATAATAAAGATTAGAGCAGAAATAAATAAAATTGAGAAGAATAAAACAATAGAAAGAATCAGTGAAAGTAAGGGCTGGTTCTTAAAGAAAATAAACAAAATAAATAAAACCCTAGCCAGACTTATCAAGAAAAAAACAGAGTCTATTCACATAAACAGAATCAAAAATGAGAAAGGAAAAATCACTATGGGCACCACAGAAATATAAAGAATTATTAGAGAATATTATGAAAAATTATATGGTCACAACCTGGATAACTGAAAAGAAATAACATTCTAGAAAAATACAACCTTCCAAGTCTGACCAAGGAAGAAACAGAAAATCTGAACAGACCAATTACCAGCAACAAAATTGAACTGGTAATCAAAAAAATACCTAAGAACAAAATGCCTGAACCAGATGGCTTTACCGCTGAATTTTATCAAACATTTAGTGAAGACCTAATACTCATCCTCCTTAAAGTTTTCCAAAGGGTAGAAGAAGAGGGAATACCTCCAAACTCATTCTATCAGGCCAGTATCACTCTAACGCCAAAACCAGGCAAAGACACCACAAAAAAAGAAAATTACAGACCAATATCCCTGACAAACATAGATGCAAAAATACTCATCAAAATATTAGCAAACCAAATTTTAAAATACATAAAAAATAACATCCATCATGATCAAGTAGGATTTATTCTAGGGATGCAAGGATGGTACAACATTCGAAAATCCTTCAACATCATCCACCACATCAATCAAAAGAAGGACAAAAACCACATGATCATCTCCATAGGCACTGAAAAAGCATTTGATGAAATTCAACATCCATTCATGATAAAAACTCTCAACAAAATGGGTATAGAGGGCATGTACCTCAACATAATAAAGGCCATATATGACAAACCCACAGTCAACATTATACTTAACAGTGAGAAGCTGAAAGCTTTTCCTTTAAGATGGGGAACAAGACAAGGATGCCCACTTTCCCCACTTTTATTCAACATAGTATTGGCAGTCCTAGCCACAGCAATCAGACAACACAAAGAAATAAAAGGCATAGAGATTAGCAAGGAAAAAGTTAAACTGTCCCTGTTTGTAGATGACATGATATTGTACATGAGAAAACCTAAAGAATCCACTCCAAAACTACTAGATCTAATATCTGAATTCAGCAAAGTTGCAGGATACAAAATTAATACACAGAAATCTGTGGCATTCATATACACTAACAATGAACTAGCAGAGAGAGAAATCAGGAAAACAATTCCATTCACAACTGCATCAAAAAGAATAAAATACCTAGGAATAAACCTAACCCAGGAGGTGAAAGACCTATACTCTGAAAACTATAAGACACTCATGAGAGAAATTAAAGAAAATATTAATAAATGGAAACACATCCCGTGCTCATGGATAGGAAGCATTAATATTGTCAAAATGGCCATCCTGCCTAAAGCAATCTACAGATTCAATGCAATTCCTATCAAAATACCAACAGCATTCTTCAACGAACCAGAGAAAAATCATTCTAAAATTCATATGGAACCACAAAAGACGCTGAATAGAAATCCTGAGAAGGAAGAATAAAGCAGGGGGGATTATGCTCCCCAACTTCAAGCTCTACTACAAAGCCACAGGAATCAGGACAATTTGGTACTGGCACAAGAACAGACCCATAGACCAATGGAACAGACTAGAGAGCCCTGATATAAACCCAACCATATATCGTCAATTAATATATGATAAAGGAGCCATGGACATACAATGGGGAAATGACAGCCTCTTCAACAGCTGGTGTTGGCAAAACTGGACAGCTACATGCAAGAGAATGAAACTGGATTATTGTTTAACCCCATACACAAAAGTAAACTCAAAATGGATCAAAGACCTGAATGTAAGTCATGAAACCATAAAACTCTTAGAAGACAACATAGGCAAAAATCTTCTGAATATAACCATGAGCAACTTCTTCCTGAACGCATCTCCTTGAGCAAGGGAAACAAAAGCAAAAATGAACTCATGGGACGACATCAAACTCAAAAGTTTCTGTACAGCAAAGGACACCATCAACAGAACAAAAAGGCATCCTACAGTATGGGAGAATATATTTGTAAATGACATATCCAACAAGGGGTTATCATCCAAAATATATAAAGAACTTAGATGCCTCAACACCCAAAAAGCAAATAAC